GGGGGGTAGCCACCCACATCTGCATCCACTGACCCCTCACCTTTGCCATCCTTGTCGTCGTCCCCTGTGTTCCTGAGGTGCTATTCCAAAGGACCTGAGTCCAAGTTCATCTTAGAGAGGGGAGAGGAGAGCATGGCTGTTTCCATGTCTTTTCTTCTTTTCCTCTGCAGTGCTGTCGACTTCCTGCTGCCTGCCTTTCCTCTACCTCCATCGCCCTTGTTTAGTCTCTATCTCCATTTCCAATTCCTTCCTCCCTTTGTCCACTTCCCCTCACTCTCTCCTCTTCATCTCATGCCTCCTGAAGAACTGGCTGAGATCAAGGCTCAAAACACCAGCTAGTGAAAAGCTGCTTGGTTAGTATTGCACAAGCCTTTCACAGCAATTCTCATATCTCCTGAATCTAGTTATTCATTCCTAGAGCAAACATTCAACAAAACAGTTGTTAAATTCAATCAAATATAATAGATCCTGTCATTGAATTATTTGTCTACTTTTTTGTTTATTTGTATGGTGGGAACTTGAGTAGATTCCAGAATTGTCTAGACAACATCAACCCAGGGAATCTGGTGAGAAAGGAAAGATGAAGTGGGGATCAAGATACATGATGCCAGAAGATACATAGGTAATGTTAAACTTTTATTTCCCCCTAAGGTATAAAAATAGAGTATAGCTCTTATGGCAGCTTTATGTATGCTCATGGGTACATGATCCAATATTGATCCAGGTTCCAACAAGTAACAGTTTCTTGAAGAATGAAGAGAAGATGTGGTCTTTTGAAACGTGAATTTCTGCCCTTCCCTTTTTCCTTCAGAAGCAGATACTATGCGTCACGAAGGGGAGGTCTTTCTCTGACCTCATTTGGGGATGGAACTTTTAACCAAAATGGTGTCACCCCTGAACCCACCATGACACACCACGTAAGTGACCACAGAAGGAACAAATCCCTATAAAAAGAGAGGAGGTAGCGCTACACTTTGTCGATCTCACAGCAGGTACCGGCTCTTCATCCCGACTTGCTTGTGAAGGAACGAGGATGACGCCTGGGAAGACCTCACTGAGGGTGAGTCCCGCACTAACGTGCAATGCTCTGGCTCATCTGGAGCAGATGCTATTTCTGATTGTGGGGATGAGATGCTGGGGTCTAACGTCTGAGAATATTGTATGTTCTCAGAATACTGTAAATACTCAAGTCATTGTGCAGCATTTTCAAGAACTGATATACGTCAGTTTGAAAGATGATATTAAAACTGAAAGATAGATACATGGGGTCTAAACCACACAAGCAGTATCATATGATGCTGTGCAGTAAGAAGGAATGTTGATTGAAAGCTTGTTTTCCTGAGTACAAAGGATTTCATATAATTCTCTCACAGCATTTTTCTTTAATCCGTTGTTTTATTTTGTTTTGTTTTGTTGAGACGGAGTCTCCTCTGTTACCCTGGGTAGAGTGCCGTGGAGTCATAGCTCACAGCAACCTCAAACTCTTGGGCTCAAGCGATCCTCTTGCCTCAGTCGTCTGAGTACCTGGAACAATTGGCATCCACCACAATACCTGGCTAAATCCCCTTTTCTTTAAAAAGGGGCCCTGTCCTTGATGGCAGCGACCATTGTTACCATTATCTTACACCACAGTCTTGGTCCATCAAGACTATTCTGATGATATATTGGATGTGTAGCTGTGTATTTAGAATGAATGGGGTTTGTATTTTTAACTATTTAATTTAAAGTACGCTTTTGGAAATCTGATTTTATGATATGAGTCAGTATGTGTTCAGTTTGGAACTAGAAAACATACCTAAGAAAATACAAGGGTCCAGTTCTTAGGTGGTTAGTCACCAGAAGCACCAACAGCATTTCTGACATACATGCTGACACCACGTGGATTTTCCTTTTTTTTTTTTAGAGACACAGCCTCACTTTATTGCCCTGGTAGAGTGCCAGTGGCATCACAGCTCACAGCAACCTCCAACTCCTGGGCTTCGGCGATTCTCTTGCCTCAGCCTCCCGAGTAGCAGGGACTACAGGCACCCACCACAACGCCTGGCTATTTTTTTGTTGCAGTTTGGCCAGGGCAGGGTTTGAACCTGCCACCCTCAGTATACGGAGCTGGTGCCCCACCCACTGAGCAATAGGCGCCGCCCACCATGTGGATTTTCTACAGCCCTTTCTTCCAAGGTGCACATTTGACTTTAAATAGGACTTCGTGGGATGTTAGGACCAAAACAAGGGTGCAGTAGGGGACTTCCACTAGAAAATCCAAGTCATTATTCTCCAACTGGCCCAACAATGACACACAAGTTGATAGGCTGATTAATAACATACTGTGACTTGACATTTTTACTCAAATTTCTGACAGCCGATGTACAATGTGTCTTCCCTGAGTTTACTGACTTCTAAGAATGTTAAAAACTGGTTTTTAAAAAGTGCCATAGTCCTTAACATTAGTTTTATTTATTTTTATTTTATTTTATTTTATTTTTTGCAGTTTTTGGCTGGGGCTGGGTTGGAACCCACCACTTCCAGCATATGGGGCCAGCGCCCTACTCCTTAAGCCACAGGTGCCACCTGTCTTAACATTATTTTGGTCATCTAACTAGATTTTTATTTAATTGTTCTGAAAATTAGATTGTCCTGGAACAAAGTACCTGCTCTATGATTAGCAACACATCATCATCACGATTGGTCAGAAAACACACACCCACTCAGCTCACCCCCTGCCTCTCTTCTTTCCCATTCAGTTCCAGTCACTGCTGCTGCTGCTCAGTCTGCTGGCTATAACGAAGGTAGGAATAGCGATGCCACAAAATCCAGGATGCCCAAATACTGAAGACAAGAACTTCCCCCAGACGGTGAAGGTCAATCTGAACATTGTTAACCGGAAACTGAGTCCCAGAAGGGCCTCAGATTACTACAACCGATCCACTTCACCTTGGAATCTCCAGTACGTAAGGGCCCCAGATGAAAACTCTGTATTTTTCATCCCTCTTATAACTCACAGTGCTATTTAAATCACCTACCAGAGGATTTTTTTTCACTTAGAAACATCAGTCAGACCTGGAAGGGCCATTATACAGAGTGATGATTCTCAGACTTTCTATAGATTTCTTTGACAAACCAACCCCCCCATAACCCCTATCCTATTAGAGCTCATTGTCACTGCCACCAAAAACCAACTTAGATTAAGGATAATCATCATTCTAATATTTATGAGATACCCCTCAGTCTATTATATATTTATTGCAAAATAAAAGACATTTTAGGCGATTAATGCTTAAATTCTCTTAATAGAGCTACCGTCAAGAAGACTTATGAAAATAACTGAAAACTAGCTAGAAATTTCTGCACTTTTTAAAATCAGATAGTCTTGATCTACCTTCCTGTATTTGTTGTGTCCTTAGTACACCTAGCATTTAGATCTCATCAAGGATTACATATAAAATGTGTTTTGATTATTTGATTTTATACAAATAAGCCTCAGTTATGTGGAGCTTACAGATTGACCTGACTAGGATTTCTTCACCTCTTCCCATTACTAAGAATAGTTGAAATGAATCAATTCAAAAGTTAAGGCAAATCCTTCACTCAGCTGAAGGAGAGAGGGAAGGGAAGGTTACAGAGACATGTAAGCTTTTGTTTCCAGCCTTTTATCTCAACTCTGGCCTCCTTCTCAAGAAAGTGTTCTCCGATACAATTCTGATGCATTCTCTCTTTCAAAGGTAGACTTCATCAAGTCAGATAAATAGCGATCTTATTCTTAGACCTCTCAAAGTCTACTCTTCCTTGGTCTTTCCATCTATCAAATGTACCCTAAAAAATTATCCTTTGGGCCAAGCTTAGATCCATTCTGTGATCTCAGTCTATCTTATTTCCTTCATTCTTCAAAGAAATTGGGGAAACCGATCGTTGTCTTCTTTTCTATAACAATTTATGTGCTTGAAAATCCAGGTTTCCCTCCAAAGTTCTTCAGACTGACATCACTTAAAGAATTTGCAATGTCTATGATTTGTCACACTATGAATTTACCCCACTTTTATTTGTTCCTGTTTGATTTCCTTCCTACTTAACCAGGAATTCACTTTCCTCCTTGCTTTTGTCTTTCCTGCAGCCGCAATGAGGATCCTGAGAGATATCCCTCAGTGATCTGGGAAGCCAAGTGTCGCCACTTGGGCTGCGTGAATGCGGAAGGGAATGTGGACTACCACATGAACTCTGTCCCCATCCAGCAGGAGATCCTGGTCCTGCGAAGAGAGCCTAAGCACTGCCCCCGCTCCTTCCAGCTGGAGAAGATGCTGGTGGACGTGGGCTGCACCTGTGTCACCCCCATCGTCCGCCACTTGGCCTAAGAGCTTTGGGTCACATCTGAGGCTCCCCAAAGCAGATATGCTTTCCCAGGATCAGACCCAGCCCTCAGAAAATCTCATACTTCAAAGATTCACCCCCATTTCTGACCAAACTTACTAGCATTTTTTAAATAGTTCATCCAATTGAAGTTTCAGAAGTAACACTTTGGTCCAGGGATGGGATCTGAATTATCTTTCTCTCTACCCGAGAAGGAACGTTTAAAATGAATACCAATTTGCTTCTTTTTTTTACTTTTCTTAAGGCTTTATGTTATTTATGTATTTAATACTCCCTGGGATAACTTGGGAGGATAAGATTCCATTTCAATGAATTACCTGCCTTATTTTATATTTCTTTTTAGCAAAGTCAAGATTCCACACTTGGGAATTTTACACTGTAATAAGTAAAACCTATATTTATATGAGCTATTTATGGACCTATTTATGTTTCTTAAATCTTTAGAGAAAAATGGAAAAGTATAATTATCAGTTCTGCCTAGGGAGATCCTAGATAGAATTAAATGACAATTGAAAGTTTCTGAGTTCTTACCACATATGGAGGGACAGAGTATTTTTCCTCTTTGTCTCTTATAAGTACATAGCATGGCTGAAAAGAGAGAAGGACTAAACCCAGGTTCATATTTATTAACTTAAATGTTGTAATTTGTTGAAGTTTTACAAGAGATGCAGCAAGTCTAACTCTCTGTACTGTTAAATCCCTACAATAAAACCCCTCTATAATAATAAAGTTTAGAAAGAAAACTTGTTTCCTTATTCTTTCTCTTTATAACGACTTCAGCAAACTCAGCTATTCCCAGTTGGGAAGAGCATGCGAATTCTCCTATAGAGCAGAACAAAGTATGCCTTTGAGTAACCAGGCCCTGGAACCACCTGAGTTCAAGTTCTTAATTTCATACACCTTCGAGACAGCAGACAACCAAAGCTCTCATACTGTTACCCAGGCTGTGGACAGAAGCATTCAAAAATGAATTAAGCAAATGAAATCATGGCCCCGAGAAATCACGTGTCATCATTAGAGATCATAAGGGAAAACGGAGAGACCCTCCCCCAATTTCCAAGAAAGGCTGGGAGGAGACGTTGTTTTCAGACTCGGACATCCAGCCTCTCCTCCAGCCTCAGGCTTCCTTTGAAGGAGATTAACAGAGGAATGCTTTTATCTTCCTGGGACCACACTCCTAGGACCTACCTAGCTTCTGTCTGACCCTCTTTACCCTGGAATGCACAAAGGAGTCCTTGGGGCCCTGCAAAACTTAAAGTATGAGAAAATTTCAGACAAAGTGAAATAAAACCTGAATCGCACTCAATTCCAGAGTAGTTTCGAGTTTCGAGTCATAACCTTTCGCCCCCTGGCTTCTCATGCTGCCTTGGCCTACTTCTGGGGCCTATGGAAATTCTGCAGTAAATGCCAACCCCACCCAGAGTTCCAGGACTTTTCCCTGTCTCTTTTCCAGTTCCAAATCCAGGGGTCAGCTCCCCAAGTCACCCCCCGTTCAGTGTCATTTTGTGCTTGTACATCTGGACTCTCATGGCCTCCTGTCATCATCTTCCCACAAGAAATCCATGGGCAGCTGCCACTAGCAATTCTCACAGCCTTTCTGCCTTCAGACTTCTCACTGAAAACCTGTGGCTCATATCCAAATTTTCATTGAATGGTGATGGTGAAAAATAAAACCAGTTTTTCTGTTTTTGTTGGAGGACAAGGGTGCGAAAGGAGATGTACATTTCTCTCCATGGTCCTGAATCCTTATGTATTTCCCACCAAATTGGCTTTGGGAGGGGGGTTAGGAGGGGGCAGGAAAGGGAGGCGGCCTTCCCTGTGCTACCCCCACCTCAGGCTCTCTTTTATTTTCTCTCCTTTACCCAATCACCTGCCCTGACCGTGTCCAAGCTAGAAATCTATGCAGCTTCCTTGACTCCTAACACCCCTACTTCCACATCCAACCATCACCCCCAGGTTCAGGCCTTCTCTGTCCCCAAGTCTATCCTCAGTCACTGCTCCAGCTGCCCTTGCCACTGTGGCTCCTCTCTGCTGGCTCTGCACATCCTCCAACCTCACCCACCCCTGCACATAGGCAAATGCAAGGGAAAGCACCTTCTGCAGTCTGGCCCTGCTCCCTCTCACCACCTCCAGTCTGGCCAAGTTGTGGGGACCGTCCTGCTGTTCTTGGCCCCATGCCGGAGCTGGCAGGCTCCTCTTGGCTCTTCTCTCTGTGGTACCTCCTTCTAATATACCATGTAACCTACTTACTTGGCTTTTGTCTGTCCCTCCCCACTGGAAAGAAATCCCTGTGCAGACAGGAATTTTCTGCCTGCTTTCTCAAAGCACTGTTCTACCCCCAGGGATTATAATAGGTGTTCAATAAACATTCGTTGATGGAATGAATGAATGGGTAGAGAAAAGCTCATGATAATTGACATCACCTTACAGAGGTTCTGACTGTTGGCCTGCTTACTTTTTGTGTTGATGATTTGCAAAACTTCCAGAAGTGGAGTAACTGGAAGAAAGAATTCATATATTATGGGGACATGAAAGAGCTTGGAAGCTTTCCTTTTGTGATTTTGGGTAACAGGATTGACATAAGTGGCTTGGTGCCTGTGGCTCAAGCGGCTAAGGCACCAGCCACATACACCTGAGCTGGCAGGTTCGAATCCAGCCCAGACCCGACAAACAACAATGACAGCTGCAACCAAAAAATAGCTGAGTGTTGTGGCAGGTGCCTGTAGCCCCAGCTACTTGGGAGGCTGAGGCAGGAAACTCACTTGAGCCCTGGAGATGGAGGCTGCTGTGAGCTGTGAGGCCCTGGCACTCTACCCAGGGTGACAGCTTGAGGCTCTGTCTCAAGAAAAAAAAAAGGATTGACATAAGTCAACCTAGGGGACCATGGAAGCCCAACTTAGAGCAAGGATAACAGTGACTATCCTTACTTTGAAACAAATGCACAAGATACCACAAATGTTGCAGCAACCTTTGAGGGAGCAAGGTCGGAGAGTTCTTGCTAACGGAGATAGGTCAGATGACTTGATTCAGACAGATGCTATCAATCTTCCCTCAAAGCCCAAACTCAACTCATCTTGTTGATTATTAATGAGATTCATACATTGGTTCATACATTATAACCAACTCACATGTATACACAAAATAAACGCCAGGGAGCAGAGAGGATTAGTGTTTGCAGAAGTGTATCATCTACTGATAAAAGTAAACTAATGCGTATTGCTGCTTCATTAGTTGGTGAGGGAAGGGACGCCTCCAGTCAACAAGGAATCTATTTACTCAATAATGGTACCTTACATTTATAAATTGTCATGGTTGTCTAATAATGCTTCTGTAATTTAAATATATAAGTTACAGAGCTAATAAATGAGATGTCCAAGACCTTAATTATAATAAAAACAAAAAACTTGACTATTCTAAAAAAAAAAAAAAAACAGAACCATGATAGAAGCAGGTAGGGCAATGGAAAGACGAAATAAAGAAATCCTAACTTATAAACCCTTCCATATGCCAGGAAGATGTCAAACATACACACCTCGAGTTATCACATCTAACCCTCAGGGCCACACTTCCTTTCATTCTTCAACATCAAGAAATGCACGCCTGTCATGGAGACCTGAGTTATGGGCCTAGCCAACCTCCCCCTCATCCTTCCTGGTCAGGCCGCATTATTAGAAAGCCATGTCCACGTGCTTCTTCCTATGCTCCCAGCAAGAAAATCTGAGCTCAATTTCTGGAAAGAAAACAACGTCTTGGAAACCTCGGGTAATCCATGCTTCCAGCATTTCTGCAGCTCATCCTATCTCCAAGTTTGCTTCATACCCTGACCTATTAACCCAGTGTACCTGGCTGGATTTCATCTTGGGAGAATCACCTAGTGCCTCTAAGTATCAATGTCTTGGGTTCTGAAAGATTCCCAAACTGTCCACCAAGAATTCTCTGCCTTATAGATGCCACCACAGGCCTATCCTGGATAAAATTGTAAATGAGATGCAATCTGGCTTTCCTTGGCCCATTTAATGTTGCCTTTCCCCAGTACTTTGTCAACAGGCTGCCACCTGCAGTTCCCTGTGCTAACTATGACCATATTTCCAAAAGGCAAATACATCAAGACATGAGGTTAAAGAGGAATCTGCAAGCCACCTCTGGGAGAGAAGAACTTGGGATGAAGATGTGTAAACTTCTAAGTGTTGAATTTGGGGCACAGATTCAATGATGTGGGGAGCAATACGAAAAGTATTTAAAATTCAAACTGGTTTACACAACTACAAGACAAACGAAGGCTCTTCCTACAGTCCAGAAACATCTCTTTATTTCCTTCGGCTCAACAAATCCAACTTTCTATTCTCTCTGGGTCCTTTTCTCAGCAGCCTCAAAGGAGAATTTCTAAATTATACTGAGATATGAATGGTGCACATTAATGGGTCATCCCTCCTCACACATTTCCATGTCCAGAATGGTTCTCTAATAAACCGAAAGAATTACTGTCACAGTAAGACACAGCAACAAGTGGAGCGAGGAAGCCTTTTCTAACTCACTGAAAACCAGACACAGCAGAAGAGATGGTGAGTAGCATAGACTCACTCGCGACGGCCCTGATCCAGATCTGACCTCAGCTTTCATAATACTGTGACTTAGGTAGATGATCTGATGTCCCTATACCTCAGATGCACGTCTGAAAAGAAGGATAACAATAGAAATAACCTGTACGTTTGTTCTGAGAATTAAGTGAAATAATGTCCACTACATGGCTAGCATGGTGATGGGGCCAGGGTACAGGAAATGCTCATTAAATGTGATTTGTTGTTGTGTTTACTTTTTATATCTACTAGGCAACTGGCTATCCTTGGTAAAAAGTGACCAACAGGGAACTGTGACTTACCACGAACACAGTGGTGGCGTACCGACCTGGGAAGATGACCAGACTGAAAGGGTGCTAAGTCACCTGCCACCTCACATTTGGTCTTGTTACCAGGGTGGGTTTCTT